TGTGGACTTGTTTTCATTTTCTTCAGCTTCAGTTTGAATTTGCATATGAGTTATTGATGGTCTGTTCCACAGTCTGCCCCTGGTTTTGTTTTCACTAATGATATGGAGCTTTTCCATCTTCTCTTTTCACAGATGTAGTCAATTTGATTTCTATGTGTTCCATCTGGGGAGGTCCATGTGTATAGTCGTCTGTTTGCTGTCTAAAGAAGGTATTTGAAATAAAGAAATATTGGTTTTGCACACCATATATGTGGATGTTGTTTATTTCTCCAGTGGTAAGGATTTTTGTCTTCTTTACACTGTGGTACAACCCATACTGAAGGATGTGAACTTTGATATTCATTAGTAAATATTTTAAGTCCTCTTGGCTTTCAGCAAGCAAGGTTGTGTCATCTGCCTATTGCAGATTGTCAATCAGTCTTTCTCTAATTCTGATTCCACAGTCCTCTTCACATAATCCAACTTCTCATATTATTTGTTTAGCATACAGATTTAGTAAGTATGGCAAAAGTATTCTGATTCTAAACCATTCCTGATTTTAAACCATTTAGTATCTTCTTATTCTGTTTGAACAACTGCCTCTTGATCTAGGTACAGGTTCCTCATCAACACAATTAAGTGTTCTAGGATTCCCATTCTTCGCAATGTTATCCATAGCTATGATCCACACAGTCAAATGTCTTAGTATTAGTCAATAAAACACAAGTAATTTTCTCCCTGGTATTGTCTGCTTTCAGCCAACATCCAACTGATGTCAATAATGACAGCCCTCATTCTACGTCCTCTTCTGAATTTGACTTGATTTTTTAGCAGCTTATTTTCGATGTACTGCCACAACTGTTTTTGAATTCTCTTCAGCAACATGTTAGTGACATTTTTCTGTTGTTTCTCCATTATGTTGACTTACCTTTCTTTGGAATGGGAACAAATTTGGAGGTAACAGTCTTCCAAATTTCTTGTCATAAACAAGTGAGTCCTTCAAGATGGTTGAAACATTTCAGTTTGTCTTACATCAATTCCTAGAG